ACCATAGCACCACAGGTACGTCCAGGCCCCGCCTACGCGCGCTCGGACGCGAATAGTCCGCAATGCAAACCGTGCTACCACTCGATTCCATTGGACCAACGGGCCAACCCTGCCAAAATCTTCTAACACACCTACACCGCACCCACCTTCAGCCATTGAATGCTTGATCTACCGCCTTTGTTATGCAAATGTATACTAAGAACTTTTAACGGCCACAGCGGCCCACGCTTTGGCATAGCCCCAGAACGGACCCTACCCACGAGACTGTGCGGGTGTTTGTGGGGAATCTTTCAGAGTTGAGGGTCTCGCCAACGAGGGCAGTATTCGATGGCACCGTAGTGGATAAGTCACCATCCTTAGGGCCGTTTGACTCGAAGCACTTGAGCAGAGAAAGGATTGCGGAAAGCGTCAAGGGCCCCCCGCAGTAGGGCCAGCCATCCAGTGCCCAGCCAGTTTCGGTGGTCAGGGTTTGTAGTGCCCATCTCAAACGTTTGGCGCCAGCCGGAATACGCTGATGAGCGGTGTATGCGGTGCGGGACCAGCATGGCCAAGGGCCCATCCGCGTCTGTAATCGGGACCAACTCTGTGATTTGATCTGGATCGTACTTCAGTGGGATCAACCACTATCGGTACAGGTGATAATGCCGGTCGCACTCAGAACGTCCGGACTGATGAACATACAACGGTGATTGCTACTCATACCATTCTGCCGGGCTCATCACTTCGGGCGGAGGGCTACGGCGATTACGATGACAGGACCATGTAGTCATTTCCGAAGAACCGAATCGCAACGGGGCGAGGTTCCCAAAAGACTTGCAATGCCACTGGAGTTTATTGGCCTAATGCGTAACCCTTTATGCAAATCGTCAGAAAACAGAGTCCACTGGATTGGCGGCGACGATACACCGACTGGAAGGATTCGCTTGGTGGTATACGATTTAAGCCAGCCTGTGACAGTGCCAAAACTCCCCCGGCAAAGGACAATCCGAACTATCGCGGCGAAAGATGTCAAACAGAGGAAACCTTCCCTGAAGTAAAGCAGAGAATAAACACGATGGAAAAGGGATTATCCAGGCTGACCTGAACTCCAGCATGATGTTCACTTTGGCATCAAAACCATTCCAGCCCGCCGTCCGTGATGAGAAAGCCTGTTGTTCCACTCGCTGTTCCATAGGTGAGATTCGTTCATTTTCCGCCAATGCGCTTTGTCATTCACATCAAATGCGTATTGTCATGCGTCGCGATGACCATTCCCATCAGGCCAAGCGGAGGAGACGGCAACACCTCGCCGGGTGCCCTCTCGCTACGCAAAGAACTCACTTGCTGCGGTCTCCCGGTTCCGTAGTTGGATTCACCATACTCCAGATGCGGGCATTTTATACCGGGGGTCTTCCGGCAAACCAGCATATGATGACTAGCGTATAGCCAAATCCCGGACATTGACGCCCTTCGCTTGATGATTGCAACCGCGACCGGCATACACCAAGTTCAGCCAATCCAGCCAGAGTAGTTTGAGGAAAATAATGCGGGGACGGACGGAACATGATCAATACTTTCATCGACGGGTTCCTGGTGCGTGGGCCGTTTACCTGACATGGCACGTTCGCTCGCAGAGTAAGCGCAAGTGTGCCGAAGTCCCGAACTAACGCATCGGGATTCGACAGTCGGTAGGAGCGGCTCACGGTTCCCCCATTGCGAGTGCTTCGAGCGTAGCTCGTCGAAAAACTGGGATTTCCGACGAGCTGTAGACCTGAGTACATGCTAAGCAGTTCTCCTGGCCCAAATCTGAGATTGGCGGTGCTTCTCCAGCGCCTAGGCAAAATGTCGCTCAATATAATTCCCGTGAGCCGCCCGCGGGCCCTCCGGCCAGTAAATCGCGGGGTCAACCATCCGACAGCACAGCTTCTGCCATCCCACCTCCCGCACGCTTTTCTTCGGCAGTTAGTCTGGCAGCGGGGCCTTGGGTCCGAAGACGCCGCAAATTCTGCTGCTGCCCTGCAGTGGTGGTGGTACTGTCAGTCGCGATCGTCAACTCCGCTGAATGTCCGTAAATTCGTCCGCCGTCCATACGTGATGTCATACTCGTCCTGACCACTCCACTGCCCGGTGTGTTTCTGTCCCAGATGCCCGACCCGCCCTCAGCCAGCTACCTCATCGGCGAGTGGGTCCTGGCGACCATCTGCACGTTCGGACATGACGAGCGGCAGCCCGCGGATGACGCGCCGCTGCCAGGCCGGGTGCACGTGTGCGTCCATTCGTCCATTCCATGATGCACCGCCGGCGTGTTTTCCCCTCCCCGTCCCACACACCCCCCCCCACCAACAACCCCCAACACCCCCCACTGTGCTTCTCGCTAGTCGTGCTGAGCCATGCCCAGTACGAACTGCGCAACCCATGCGAATACCAGCCGGGGCCGTGACTTAGCTCAGGGAAAGTAATCACCAGACCGGTGCGACTGCCCTTGCCCTTCACGCACTACCGCTCCACAACTCAAACACACAAAACGACCACAAAAACGAGGAAACATGCCTCACGCCAGACCCCACCCCCTAGACCAATGCAACCCAACACCCCCTCTCACAACGACACCCCCCACCCCACACCCAAGTCCAAACCACAACCCTTCCACGACCCCCACCTGAGCCCCCCCAAAAGACCCACGAGACCCACTACAGAACCCAACACGCAACCCCAAACCACACCGATACTTATCTTCTCCCGACCCGGTCGCCCGTTTCCCAGTTACACACACCGAACGCCCAAAGTCGGACACCCAACAACACAACCAAAAACCACACAACAACCCCCACCACCCCCGCCCTCCACAGATATCGTTCCCGCCGTCATCTCCCGCACATCTAGGCGACCGGCCCGCCCACCCCGCCGCCAACCGTCCACCCTCCCACCACGCGCACCACCCGCCACACCCTCGTCCTCCTGCCGGGGCCGGCGTTCTGGGGCCCCACACCCACCACCCCCCCCGCCACAAAAGCAGCCCGAGACATACAGAGTCCACGACCCCGCACGCTCCCCGCCTTCCCGGGCTCCCCACCCCCCCCGGCTCCCGGGCCACCTTCCCCCTTCGCCAGTCCCTCAACCACTCCGGGCCACCAACCGACAGCACACACTTGCCAGACGAGCCGAACAATGACCAACCACCACAGACATTACAAAGCAACAAGCGCTGGAACGCAGCAACACAAGCACCAACCGGACCACAACCACCCCCGCTTAACCCCCCAAACCAAACACAAACACACGAACTTCCCCGATCCGGCATCTCCCAGGGAATTGGACCAGACCAGCTCCCGATTTAGCGTCCGCGGGCGCCCCGTAACCCCGAAGATGATCGGAAACCGCATTAGTGAACGAGCGTGTGGGTAATTGCGTTTATCCCCTCGTTCGCTGCCGACGCGGATGCAAGCGCCGTAGAATCGTGGACTTGCACACATTGTTGGGACGATGAGCAAGTTCACATTGGGGTCAAAATTCCATTGACACGGTCCGACAACCCCCCCGCCGTACGAGCGAGGCCGAAACGGGCCTCCATTGGTTACGGTGCAACGAAGAATGGGCATAGCAGACGCCATTGTCGACGATAGTACGGTTTTAAACAACTCAGCAAGGCAGCATTCGTTCATACTGAGCTACGGTCCATTTGAGAGACAACGGGCCGCCCGGTGAGGCTAGTTATGGGATGATGCGTTGGGATGGGTAAAGCCTAGGGTTCGGGGCGTTCATCGAGACCTGATCAGGTGAGGAGGCGATTGAGGGCGCAGTTTCCTCCCGAAGTGGGTTGCAGGAAGTCGGTGATGGCGCTTCGGTGTTATTCAACCAAGTTGGTCGCTCTGTTTGAGCGGTATAAAAAGTTGCTCGCGGATTGTAGTCGGGTTGTGGCGTCGTGTTGAAGGTCCCAGAAAAGGTCGGGAATATATTGGAGTCGGCCTGAGACATTGGACGGTTTGGGAAGTGGGTTTTGACATGATTGTGGGTTGAGCCCACGGTATATCAGAATCCATTGCGTCTGGCTCTGTCAGTTGGTTGGCAAGGGCCCCGATAAGCAGTCGGCGTTGCTGGCAGTGCGGGCGTGGAAAAGACGAAAGTAGGCTGTGCTGGATGGCCCGCCGGATCGCCCCCCCCTCCTGCCGGAGTAGGTGGGGTCGCGGCGGCTGGTGGGATGACCATTGCCCGCCCGGGCGGCTATGAGATCCACCCCATCGATCGGCGTGGTCATACCGGATCTCGTTCTGGGGCGTAGAAGATGGTCGGTCGGTCGAAACCTCGTTCCATGCACACACGGGTACGATATGCAAGGAGAATGTGTTGAGGGGCGCGTGCGTCGAGTCTGGATGGGTCGTCGTCGAAGATTCACGGTGGTTTGATGTAGTTGTCGCCGTCGGGGCCTGGCAGGGATTCCGAGGTAACCTCGGAGATGACAAAGGCATCGGAAAGGTTTATACGCGGCTCTAGCTGGACGAGGTCGGAGATGTGGCGGCTAGGGATGCGTCAAAGATGGGTCATGGTGTTGACCTCCGGAACATGTCGGATTACGTCAATGTTATTGTGGAGTGGGTGCGGTCAAGGGGCGGAGGCGGCGAATTCAAAAGCTAGGTGGTTTCGCTCAAGGGTGCCATAGAAGGTGCTGGGTAATATCGTGCACGTTGCATTCCCATACGGCTGATCCGACACTCGTTTAGATTATCAGCCAGAGGAAGTCGTCGGGACCCCGAAGGCAGACGGGTTGTCAAACATCGAACAGCAGAGCAGAACTGTGCAGCAACGTTGCTAACTGGGCCTCTTTTACGGCAATCCTCGCCCGACGGCGTGGGCTTGCAGCGGATGGAAACACCAGAATTGGACCGCCGCAAGTGGGGCTGTGCCACATTTAAGGCCGCGTAGGCGAGTGAATCTTACAAGTCGTGGGGTATGGGCCAGCCGGGACTTTCCAACAGCACGAAGTGAGCCGTTCGCCACTTATCTAACTTTGGTACAACAGTCCAGACAAGGCCTTGACTATGCTCTGGGTTGGTTTGACACAGGCAACATTGCGTTTCAGAATATTCCAGTCCCGCTAACACGACCCGAGCCCTGGAGGTTTGCAGTGGCTGCCTATGACTATGACTTGATCGTCATCGGTTCGGGACCGGCTGGCCAGAGGGCTGCAATCCAGGCAGCAAAACTGGACAAAAGCGTGGCCGTACTGGAACGGTTGCCCATGCTCGGCGGCGTTGACGTCAACACCGGAACTGCCAGCAAGACTTTGCGGGAGGCGGTGCTGCACCTCACCGGCTTTCGGGAACGCAACATATATGGTGATTCCTACTCCGTAAAACAGCACATTACGATGGGCGACCTTATGGTGCGTACCGGGTACGTTATGCAGCAACAGGTCGACATGCTGCGTGTCCACTTCCTCACCAACCAGGTTGAGATGATAAACGCGGAAGGCTCGTTCGTTGATCACCACACCATAAATCTCTCGTTACCCGATAGCAGGCTGAACCGCGCTATCACATCCGACAAAGTGATCATCGCAGTCGGATCGTTGTCCACCACCCCGCCTATCGTTCACGTGGACGGCCGCCTGATATTTGTCAGTGACGATGTTCTGAACTTGCCCAACATCCCACGCTCTTTGACCGTCGTCGGCGGTGGGGCGATCGGGCTGGAATATTGCAGCACATTCGCCGCGTTGGGGGTAAGGGTCACTCTGGTGGATCGAAATCCGCGTCTCCTCCAGTTCGCAGACGATGAAATCGTGGATACCCTGGTCTATCACCTGCGGCAGAACGGAGTCACCCTGCGCCTCAACGAAAACGTCAACGATATCGAATACTTGCGAGACCACCGAGGCGACCGGGTCCGCGTGCTGCTCGAAAGTGGTAAACAGATCATCAGCGACTCGGTCATGTATTGTGTGGGGCGCACCGGAAACACCGCAAACCTCAATCTGGAAGCGGCCGGAATCCAGGTCGATGAGCGAGGCCGCATCAGTATAGACGACAACTACCAGACCTGTGTGGAGGGCATATATGCGGTTGGCGGGGTGATTGGCTTTCCCGACCTCACCTCCACCTCCCGTATGCAAGGCCGCCTCGCTGCTTGCCATGCCTTTGAAGAGCCGATCAAACGATTCCCGGACCTGTTCCCTTACACCGTCCGAACCATCCCTGAACTGGCAATGATCGGCAAAACGGAATCGCAGCTGACCGACGCGGGCGTATCGTATGAGATCGGCAAGGCTAACTACCAGGAGACCATGAGCAGCGTCATGCAGGGCGACAACGCCGGAATGCTGAAGCTGCTTTTCGACACTGAATCCCGAAAAATTCTGGGCGTACACATCCTGGGAGAGGACGCCGCGGAGTTGATTCACATCGGCCAGGCGGTCATGGCCCACGGCGGCACGGTTGACTATTTCACAGAGGCGGTGATCAGTTATCCATCTCTCGCCGAGTGTTACGCGACCGCCGCCCTGAACGGCATCAACCGCCTGGATCCGTGAACTCGCCCCGACCCTGCCCCAACGTCTCTGCGGCCAAAACCGTCACCACGGCCGGCCTCGACAGAGCCAGCAAAACGACTTGTGCCGATGAGTTGCTGCCCAACGGAACCAACTGTCCCAACTTCGTTAACGCCGACCTGATCGCGGCCCGATCGAACCCGCTGAACCCAGAGCGAGCCGCTATCGCCGCCGGCCGCATCATGATCAGCATGATCGACGATCACGTCATTCGTGGCGGCAGATTGTAACAGTTCAGAGTAGAGGGGAAACGAGCAGCTGACGGCAGGCGGCGAGAGGATTTAGACCTTGGGCGCGCCAGGTGCCGAAGATGGATGCCAGCGTCATCTTGCGCTCGGTGCCCTGCTCCGAGCGGGTGCCGCCGCTGACCTTGCGGCGGACGCCTTCGCCGCGGGCTGGTGAGTCCGGCGTCCAGCAGGATGCGCCGCAGGGTGGTCCTGCCAATGTTGATGCCGTCGCGCTCGCTCAGCAACTCGCTGAGATGGGTGTGGTTGGCCCCTTCGTACCTGGTGCGAGCCAACCGCACTACGCTGGCCACCACGGCATCGGGTGTCGCGTTGGCTGGCCTGCGGCCCCGGTGGCCGTGAGCCACGGCGGCGGCTCCCTCCTCTCGGTAAGCTGCCAGGATGCGCCTGGTGTGGCGAGGGGTGACACCCATCAGGGTGGCCGCCTGGTCCAATGTCATGTGCTCAGCGAGCAAACTGTTCAGGACCTGAAGTCTGGCCTGTTCTTTTGGATTCAAAGTCACATTCTCCATACGGTGAATATGACATTTCTGCTGGCCAGTTAGTGAGGACGCTTTCGCTGGACATCGACAACTGGGGCGGAGCAAAACTGTACCACCTGGGTGGTGCCTGACGGCCCTGGCCTAGCCGGCGGGGTGGGGCCCCTCGCCTTGACGGTGGGGCCGGCTTGGGCGTCGGCGCGGTGCTAATCATCGTTGGGCCGATCCGGCGCTGGCGATGGCGCGGCGGCGCTTTGCCGGCTGCCCTTGAGGCGGTAGCTCTCGCCATTCATCTCCAGGATGTGCACGTGGTGGGTGAGACGATCCAGCAGCGCACCGGTGAGCCGCTCCGATCCGAAGACCTCGGTCCACTCGTCGAAGGGCAGGTTGGTGGTCACCAGGATGGAGCCCCGTTCGTAGCGCTGGCTGAAGACCTCAAAGAGCAGTTCCGCTCCGGTGTGGGACAGGGGCACGAAGCCCAACTCGTCGATGATGAGGAGCTGGAGGCGGGCCAGTTGCCGCTGCAGGTTGGGCAGCCGGCGCTCGTCCCTGGCTTCCATGAGCTCGTTGACCAGGGCAGCCGCAGTGGTGAAGCCCACCGACAGGCCCCGCTGGCAGGCGGCCAGTCCCAGGCCCAGGGCGACGTGGGTCTCGCCGGTGCCGCTGTTGCCGATGGCGATGACGTTTTCATGGCGATCAACGTACTCGCACCGGGCCAGTTGCGTGACCAGTGGCTGGTTCACCTAGCCGCGGTCCAGTCAGAAAAAAGGAGCAGCGGCCCTGGCACACGGTCACCGGGGCCGCCGACCGGTCAACGCCACGCCCGAGGCGGTGATCGCCGACGTGGTGCATCTGGCCGGCACTCGATACCAGGGAGTCAACCATACCCATCTGAGCGAACTGCTGAGCGAGCGGGAAGGCATTCATATCGGCCGAACCACCCTGCGGCGCATTCTGTTGAACGCCGGACTGAGCAGTCCGCGCCGGCGCCGTCCGCCAGCGCAGACGCCACCAGCGTCATCACCTTGTCTCCAGGATTGGCTCGGCCCGGGGCATTGCCCAGGTCGAGGCGCCGGTCAACCAGTTCGGGCAGGCCCAGGTGCAGGGCCAGGGTGGCCGGCAGGATCAGCCCAGCATTGTCCACCCCAGGCGGCGGTCGTCAAAGGCGATTTGGATGCGGTCGGGGTGGTTATCTGATAGCATCTTTTGGGTTCTCCTGGCCTGGGGACGGTTTGGTGTTACAAAAGCTATTATCCCCGATGGACCGGAGCACTTTCTTACCCCTTCAGCACGCCGCGACACTCATCTTTTCGGTGGATTGGGGCTAAACATCCCCGAAAATGGCAGAGGGCTGATTATTTCCGCAAAACCGCCTCAGCAAACACAACCCCCGGCTCTGGCCGGTCTTGTTCAGAGTATACTCAGGACGTGTCCCGACCACTACGATTATGGGCGCGAACTTGCAGGCCGAACAGGCCGAACAGTTCGTCGGTTGATAGCGACTTCCCGATATCGATGGTTACATCGTCCACCAGTTCGTCAAATAGCTCCTGCTTGCTCTCCAATATTCGGTCAATTCGCTCCTCTATCGTGTCGATGCAGGAATACTTGAACACATGGACTGGCATCGACTGCCCGTAACGATGGCTGCGGTCCTCGGCCTGGCGTTCCACTGCTGGATTCCACCAACGGTCAACGTGGAACACGTAGGAGGCTTCCTGAAGGTTAAGACCCACCCCGCCGGACCTCAGTGAAACAATAAGCACTTTGTGCCGGTTGTCGTTTCGAAAACAGCGTATGACCTCTTGTCTGTCTTCTGGCGTAAGATCGCCCGTGAATTTTAAAGGGTTGAACTCGCGCAATATGCCTGCCATCGCGTCGACTCCGAACCCGTTGCTGACGTACTGAGAAAAAACTATGGCCTTGTGGCCCTGTGAAGATAAGGATTCGACTCTCCGTCGAATATCTTCAAACTTGCTGGACTCTCCGGTTTCCGGTTCGGCGTTGCAGATTTGTTTGAGCCTCTGGATCAACTCCAACACGTGCTGCACCCGTACATCCGCCCCTAACTGCCGCAGATATACGATGCCCTCTCGTTCTGCGCGATCGTAGCTGCGCCGCTGGTTAGTCAGCAGTTCGATAGCCAGTTTGGTGGTCAGCTTGGGGGGAAGATCCGTGAGCACTTCCGCCTTCTTCCGCCTCATTTGCAATTCCCGGTGTCGCTCTCGTAGCTTGAGACCAGGGGAGTAGTGGTCTTTAGAAACTAGATCCCGGTGGTCCACGAACTCTACGATGGACGCCAACTCTTCTTCACTGTTTTCAAGAGGCGTACCCGTCACCGCCCACGAACGGAGACGCTGCAGTCCTTTTGCAGCCGTGCTGGTGGAGTTACGGTTCTTGATGCGCTGGGCTTCGTCCGCAACCAAAACTCCCCAGGTCTTCTTGCGTACTGGAGACTGTAGATTGTCGGTGAAATCTGCCCTTAGCGTGTCGTAGCTGACTATCGCGACGTGGACATCGGTTATCCATTGCCATGCCCGGTCGCTGGGAGTTCCCCGAATGACCATCACTCTTAGTTCCGGCGCCCATTTGAGCAATTCCTGGCGCCATTGGTCTAAAACTGCTGCCGGAGCCACAACCAGTACGGTCTCTATAGCCCGCTGCACAATCAGAATTCGCAACGCCGCGATCACCTGGATGGTCTTGCCCAATCCCATGTCGTCGGCCAAGAGCAATTTTTCGCTGCCGATTAACGTTCGGACCCCGTCAAGTTGGAACGGCATCAACTCACCTGCCCATGATAGGACCGAATGAGGACCGGGCAGCAACGACTCAATAGGGGGTGAGAGTACCAACCGCAACCGGGTTGCCAAGGAGGGTGTGGTGGGCGAACGTGTAGCTTGAGAATGACCAGCGTTGGAGGACGGCGCACGGCTTTCCCGTCGGGAATCGGATCTCACTGGCGCTTCGTCGCTAGAAATCGGGACCAGAACAACCGAGGTCACTGACCATGGGACGGCTTCTGCCTCGGAGAAAACGGAATCCACGGATGTTGCTGAACCAACACCGCAGGGCGTATTCCGCACACTCGGCCGTTGGTATGGAACAAGAGAAACGGGGCGGGTCGGCTGCGGCCGGAGTTGACGCCGCAACGGAATCCAAGCGCGCCGATGCGAAGTCGGAGTGCCGGTCAGCCAGTTTGGCAATAGCTTCACGAGTTGAAGGCCTCTTGAATCCCCAGCGCCGCACGCTCAAATGGTTCGATCAATAATTGGCGCTGCTCAAGGAGTTCAACAGTACGGGCCGTCACTGAATCGGAAGGTGGCAAGCCGTTAATCCAATACACCATTAGGGACTCGGATAACGGCTGAGCTGCCTCCGATGGCGCGGCAGCCACGGAGTCTTGAGACGCTATGCGGCATAAGGGGATTTCTGGACGTATGTTTTCGGAAAATACCGCTGGAGGCGTTTCCTCCGCCAGCGTTAAAACCACGTCGGTTTGGTTGGAGGATGATTCAAACAGAGCCTTGGTCAGTGCGGATACCGCCCGGCTTCGGGCATGCCCCGGCCGCCACAGTACGCTAGAGCGTACGTCGATTCTGGTGAAAGCGAACTCAATCGGTTCTCCGCGAGCGGACATGATGAACAAAGCGCCACGTATTCCCCTGCCGTCCGGTTCGTCGATGAAGCGCAGAAAACCGGCTACACCCGAAGGTTCGTCTTCACCCAAATCACGGAACGGTATCGGCAAAGTAACCGCTCCTTAACCCAGGGCCGGAGGAGGCTCGTCCTCTACAACCGCTGGAGGGTTAAGTTCGTTTGGGGGCGTTCCTTCTTCCCCGATAATGGGCAGGTCAAGGTCGTCTGAGGCTGGCTGCTCCAGCGTCCGGATCTTCTCCGTATCGGAGTTGCAACTCGGTGACTTCGATATCGGGTTCCGATTCAGGGTACAGCCGACGCAAGTCCCATTCGTTTATCCACCGCCGCACGAAGGAACCGGATTCTGCGCCGTCCCATCTGACCGATTCCGCGGTCAATGTCTGGGGGCATCCCAACTGTATGCCCAGAATGAATGTCCTTCAGCTTGTCATACAGGTTGGACAGGTCGCATCGTCGGTTCGTCCAGTGGGTGCTGCCCTCGTTCAATAAGCGCATTCCGGTTTCGGCCCGGGCCGCAGCCAGATTGTCGGCGTCCCTTCCCCTGTGCCCGCAGGCGGGGGGCTGCCTTGTCCCGGTCTTCCTTGGTGTCAAGGACTAA